ACAAATAAAATCGGAAAAAACAGTTTTACATAATTTTGCAGTTCGAAGGCTAACACACTAACTACCGGCGCTATTAGAGAGCGGCCGCACCCGATATAATCTCAATCAACTCTCTAGTGATGACCGCTTGTCGGGTGCGATTGAACTGAAGCGTCAATTTGCCGATCATTTCGCCTGAAAAGACAAATCAAACATAAATTCACCACAAATTGAGATATAAATGTATAGCAAAAATAGTGGTCAACGGGAACGCACCGGCATTTTTACTGGCGCTGTCCATGGCTGACATGCGGGATGACTGTTCACTACAGGCGTTCTCTTTCATGGCGTAAAATATAAGTGACGCCAAAGAGTACTCGTAGTATGACTTGAGGACGTCGTCATCGATACTGTCGTAGACATTCATTTTAGGCGACGCGCTGATGGCCTGCGCGCCAAAGATCGGCAACTCTGAGGTGACGTACGACACGACAGTCCTATCGCAACAACATATACGTCACTAATTGGTCCAAATGGTGATCACTGGCCAGTATTACCTGAACTTATTGTAGATGAGAATGCCTTCACTGAACTCAAAGCCACTGTTGAGGATAGCGTTGGCCACAGCGGTGGCGTCACCGAATTGGGGCGCCTTTTTGCCCACATCGTTGAACATCATCAGTATATTCTGCGGGAATTGTCTGCACAGACAGTACACCAGTCACTCAATGGCACCAACAGATGGACAGTTGGTCACTATTATAATCACATACCGGGCGAGCATTGCCTTAGATTTGTCTCCAACGCATACAATCCTAATATTCTGAGCGTTTGGGTCCGTCTTCATAATGGCTCGTATTTTCTTAGCGACGGATGAATGGACTCCACCGCAGAGACCCCTGTCGGAGGTGACGGCAACGATAAGAGTGCCCGGTTTGGGGGTCTCGTCGCCCGCTTTTATTAGATCCGTATTCGTGTAAAAGGCTATCAAATGAGACAACGGATCAGTTGTGGTGACAAATGGCGTGCCGATGGACTAACCCTGAGCTCCCAACCCGTAACTGCGGGCGGACTTGAGGTCACGCTCAGCCCTGGCATACTTGGCCGCCGACACCATTTTCATCGATTGCGTGATCTTCTGGATGTTCGTCACCGACTTCAACCGCATCCTAACTGTAAGACACAAACACACCGTTAGTTTACGTCCATCGCTATCATCAGAGCACTGGTCTCTTCATTACTGTCTTTAAGTGTAGCCATTCCTCTGGTTTGGACACTAAATCGCAATCAAATCAATTCATAGTCAGATCATTGGACACGGTATCAGTGCATCAATTGATTACTTACCCGATGGCTAGTGGTGTGGAGGTAGTGACCAGTTTGGATGTCAAACAAAACATTTTTGTGTGCTTTGATTGATTGCTTTCACACCAAATATATACAAAACAATTGAATCAATGATTAAATTGTGGTTTGAATCCAATTTCCAGTCTTTGATTCACTCAATGCTATTCACAGTCAATATCAAGTGAATGGCAGTGAATGTCGCCCTTCACTACATATGTACTCATTATAAGGCAGTGGTGGCACAGACTGTCCCTTCGCATAACACACTTTATTTTAATTTGATGCTAATTATTGTCAACAATAATTTCATGTGTCTGTTTTCAATACAAATTCATAGTATCTTTATGTAAGTTACAAATATATCTTGCTCATTTTCACAATTTAATGTCTATGTATGTAAAAGAGGGGGAATATAAATGTGTAATAAATGGTAACTTTATATGAGAGTGGGGTATACTGTATGACCAAAACATGTCGGGAATGCGAGAGTCGGCGTGCTTTGAGTGCCATCTGTGGTGAAGGCATTGACTCACAAATACATGGATTTGTATGAAATGAATGACGAAATAAACAGTGCTTTCAATTGGCGTCCAATTTATGTCAACATTCACTGCAATTGACTCACAGTTTGTGTCATCCATTGATTGAGTCATTGATTGAGTGATCACTCGTTCAGCGATTGTCGCACTTCTTGTGTCCAAACCATAAGCCGATGGAAAGCCATAGCATTAGCGCCAATGAGAGCACCGATAGCTATAACAGCGATGACAGCAGCAGTGGTGACAGTAATGAGAGTTTAGGTCTGAATATAATCCAAAACTTGGACTTAATCTTCACGAACCAAATGGACTCAAACCAGTCGTCCGAAGACTCAATCGCCGACAGGTTTGTCTTACCATCAGATGTCAAATGTATTGATAATAGTATCGTACGAATCAGACGCCAGTGTTGGCTGTGTTTGGGTCAGGAGGAGGTGTCGGCCACCGCTGACCGCCAATCCGTGTCCTCGCTGTCCACTGATGGCCAGCTATGGCTGAGTCCGTGTCGATGCAGAGGAACCGCTAAATGGATTCATAACGAGTGTCTTCAGCTGTGGATCGACGAGAAGCAGAAGTTGGACACAAGTGTTGCCGTCAAGTGTTCCCAATGTAACACTCAATACGTTCTGGTGTTCCCTCCAAACGGTACCACTCTTTCGCACAATTGTCTTATAGTGCTCTCAATGTCTGATTGTCTTTCATATCACATCTGAAGGCAAACTAATAGACGTGATCTTGTGGTACGAATCGGTGGTGAATAACGGTTTGTATTATTGTTTGTTGAGTTGTTGTAGTGTTTGTAACAAATGATTGATTGTTATGTAAATCACATTCAGTGTCCACGTATGCGATGGTGTTATGTATAGCGGGAGCCGTATATATGAGTGCTTTTAGTTATGGTGTACTCACGTGTCTCCAGATATTGGGTTTGATATCTAATGAATGGTACGATTAAAACATCACTTAATGTGTCATTTTTGTCGGACATATAGGCGCTGAGCGGACATCGGAACTGATAGAGAACTCAAATAAGTCGTTATCACTGATTGGTTTGCCATCGATTCCCTTCATTCTGTGCGCCGGAAAACTGATCAATTGGGAGAATATGGTGCTGAGGCTATGGCGCCGGCATTACCGCAAAATACCGCTCATATCGTTCTTCACGGGCCG